CAGGAAGATGTTTTGCTCCCCGGGGCTCCAGGCGCCTCCCTCTCCAGCATGTTAGGAATTGCTTTCTCCCATCACCCCTTAAAAGGGAAGGCAGTGCCACATCACTAAGCAACCAGCCAGGAGGGTTCCTCCAAGAGCAACAAGCTGACCTCTGAAAATCAGTGAGCCTCCGGATCCTGCACCTGGAAACCCCAACCGGATGACCTAACGCACATCCCTCGAGAATCTGCACCGTGTACATTATACTTTCTGGTGTGAGCACTTTCTCCTCAATTTCATTTTAAATGTTTCAGGTCACTGCAGTTTCACGGCTACACTTTCGACCAGCCAACAAGCTATTAATCCGTCTTCCCTGAGTAGAATAGAACAATGCCAACAAACTTCCAAGATGTCCATCTAACTTTCTTGTGTGGACCTTATAGCGGGAGAAAATGTCTCAATCCTAGTTAAAATGCCTGTACTTCCACTTGGACCCTACAGGAGACTTCTTATCAAACTCATCCTAGGTGTCCCCATTTGTGAATGGATTCCTCACCATCTAGCTAACAGATGTTGCAGGGACTGGAGCAGGGGAGAAGGCTCAGCAGTTAAAAGCACTTCCTGCTCTGGCAAAGGACCCAGGTTCAGTTTCGAGCACCCACATCAGGCAGTTCACAACCACCTGTAACTCCAGCCCCAAGGGATCCAACACCCTATTCTGGCCTCTGCTTGTACACACACAGGTAGCCATACATACACACAGACACACACACACAGGTAGCCATATATACACACAGGCAGACACACACACTCACATACACACACACACACATACACAACATAAAGTAATTTTATTTTTTAGTTGTAGGGATTAAATGACATGGTGCACGTAAGGAATTCATTGTGTGCATACAGGAATCACTCATTAAATGTTTGATGAATTTGGTAAATTCATTGTGTGAATACAAGAATCACTCATTAAATGTTTGGTAAATTTGATAAACTTGACTGTTGTCTGGCAGAGGCACCAACATCTTGGTTTTCATTTCCAAGTTGATACTAGTAGGTTAGAGTTGATGGTACAGCTCGTGACCTTGAAAAAGCAAAATTCCACTTGGTATCCTAACACGATGAAATCACTACCAATCCATGGAAACAGCTTAATGATTGTAGGAATTTATTGGGGGTTAACTCCCGATACAGGAAACTCACAATACAGGAAATAGGTATTGAGGTACGGTCCAGCACTGTTCTCCAGAGAGCTTATCAACCTAATCTGTCCTAATCGGGCCCCAGCATCCAAGACCACAAGGTAGTGATTAGAGGACCAGGTACTTCATCCCAGGTCTTAAGGGGTCCCTGAGAAAGCCACGCCCCAGGGGGGTAGGTACCTAGGAGTTACTTGCTGCCTCACTAGAGGTGGTCCTTCAGGGTAAGGCACAGACAACCGCCCCTACATCATCCAAACCTAAAGTTTGGTCACACTACTAAATTAGCCAGCCTTGGATCACAGAAGGGGTACCACTGAGCCTTCCCACTATTGGTAATAGCCAGAACTAGGACACTGGGACACTGGCAAAGGGGAAAAGAAGACAGAGTGAAGAGTCACATTTGAGATAGAATCAATAGGGTTTGATGAATAGCCCTTAGAGAGGCTGAAGGAAAGAGAAGAATGGAGTCCCCAAGCATCTGACTTGGATGATTAAATACAACTCTTATTCACTCAATGAATTATCTACTGTGCACTTACCACGGTTCAGGTGCTGTTCTGGGTGCTGGAGCAATCATAGTCCACCAAAGAGGAAAAAGATCTGGAGAGTTTCCTGTTATGTTGGGGAGACCAGCAAAGAAACAAAGAAAATGGCTGACTGTGAGAACTTAGACAAAGACAATAAACAAGTTAATGAGGTGGCGAATAATAAGATGGGGTCTATTTAGGACAGGACGGTCCCCTCTGCAGAGGTAACCAACCCATGAGGTTCCTGAAGGAGGTGGAGCCAAGAAGCAGGGAGGAAGGGAAACATTCAGCAGGTGTAGAGATTGTGGTGTAGCTACAGTTTTCCAGGCCTTGCCCACAGTCAGGACAAATCTCTCTCACCTGCCAGTCCCACAGCCGCTCAGACCCAACCAAGTAAACACAGAGACTTATGTTGCTTACAAACTGTATGGCCATGGCAGGCTTCTTGCTAACTGTTCTTTTATCTTAAATTAACCCATTTTTATAAATCTATACCTTGCCACGTGGCTGGTGGCTTACCAGAGTCTTTACATGCTGCTTCTCCTGGCAGTGGCTGCAGTGTCTCTCCGCCTCAGCCTTCTGCTTCCCAGAATTCTCCTCTCTCCTTGTCCCACCTACTTCCTGCCTGGCAACCTACTTCCTGCCTGGTCACTGGCCATCAGTGTTTTATTTATATAGAATGATATCCACAGCATTGTGGGGTGGGAAAGGCACTGTATTTGATAAGGGTGAAGAAAAGCCTATTCAGCTGAACTAAAAAGAGGGAGAGACTAGCAGAGAGGCTGGAGGGGAAGGCAGGGGCAGTTAGTCAAGGATGGGCCTTGAGAAGCAGGTTCTGAGGTAGATCTTATAGTACTTGTGGAAATCTCCAGACTAAAGATCCAAGGCTACAATGTAAAATCTACAGCTGCTACTGAATTGGAGAAAGTATCTGGTTGCACCAGAACTGCCAGAGAATTTCAGAAATAACGGATTTCTCAGGCACCAAAAATATAGGTTTCTAGATCTAGAACTGCCCAAGACCTGGAAATCAGTTTCTTCCATGCTCTGGTCCACTCCTTCAGTAATGTTTCTTGTCTCCCTCCCACATGCTGGGATGCACCTAAAATAACTTCTGGGGTAGAGAAAGAACACACCGTAAATGAGCATTATGACCCTCACACACAAAAATCGCCAATGCTAATAAAATATCACCCAACAGTAATCGGACCTACTCTTAATAAGACCAGTCTTGAGAAAATGACTTTGAACTCACAGATCAAAAATAAGGACAGGCTGTCTGAGAGGAGAGCATTCTAGGCAGAGGGAGCCACCCTGGCAAAAGGCAAATGGAAGGCTGGGTGGGTGTGGTGGTACACCTCCCAGCCCATGAGATATTGAGGCAGGAGGATCACTGTGAGTAAAAGGCCATCCTAGGATACAGAGTGAGATCCTGTCTCAAAAACAAAATACAACGAACCCACAAAGACTGGGTCTAATCCTCTGGTTTATCCAAACTCAATTAACCAACCAAAGTAAGAGAAGAAGGCATAATGAAGAAGATGCCAGTCCATCTCCGGGTGTTCCTCAGCAAGCTCACCCTGGGCAGTGTTCCCCGCACTGATACAAAAGGTCAGAAATGTGATTGTTCTCTCCCCTTTCTGTGTCTGTGTCTGTGTGTCTCTCTATGACTCTCTGTCTCTCTGTCTGTCTGTGTCTCTATATCTCTGTGCCTGTCTCTGTGCCTCTCTGTTTTTCTCTCTCTGTCTCTGTCTCTGTCTCTCTCTCTCAGAATTGGCAGTTCAGTGAAGCAAATAGGTAAGTGCAGTCCAATAAGTATGACCCCCATGCCTTATAAGCAAGAGCATCCTAGACAATGATGCTCGTGTTCTGAGAAAGCCGTGATGATTAATACCTTTGGGTATGGCGATGTAATTGCTTTTGAAACCGTGGGTTAATGTTATTGTTTTATGGTCCTAGCAAGCTCCAAATATCTGGATTTCAGATGGAATTTCTGCAGCAGTGAATCCTGGGTCTGAAATACTGTATAAACATTTCTACTTTAAGAAATCAGAATCCTGGAAAATGCTAACATTTATTTATTGTGCGTATAGATTTGCCTGGTTTAATGTGCAATCTCATGCCTTCCTTGCAATGTCTAGGTAAGGTATGGACCATAACACCCCCCAACACACACACACACACACACACACACACACACACACACACCTTTTTCAAATACAGAAACTGGGTAGGTAATGGGGACTTCCTTTCCTGTGACCAAGCTGCATCTGGGCCAAGAGTCTCCATTCTGATTTCTCAGGAATGGCTAAGATCTTAATGTAGCTGCTCTCTTGGCCCCAGGACCCAAAGCAGATCTCTCTCTCTCTCTCTCTCTCTCTCTCTCTCTCTCTCTCTCTCTCTCTCTCTCTCTCCCTCTCTCTTCTGTCTGTCTGCACAGGTTGTATGCACCAGCCAAAACTACGCCTTCCCATGTAAAAGGGAAAGTAGAGAGAAGACCTCCTTGTTTCTACTGGAGGACACCAAGGTACCTACTCCAGTCTCCTGAGCCTCCTGTGGAGTGGAGGAAGTGTACTAGAAAGACTTTTTATCAGCTGGGTAGGAGGATCTTATTCCCTCTAATGATTCAAATTCGGTGGTATTTTAAAAGGTGAAATGGTCCTTTGCAGCCTGCACAACACACACACACACACACACACACACACACACACACACACACACACCACACCACACCACACCACACCACACCAGTTTAAAACTTAAAAGGCCTTGTTTCTTCTTTTCCTGATCCCTTTCTTGCAAACTTCTCAGTGCATCCACAGAAGGGTCTCTAGATGTGAGGGAAGTTAATTCCCTCTGCAGTTAGTTCCCGCTGCTCCTCTGCCTCCCAGAGTCTGTCTGTCTGTCTGTCTGTCTGTCTGTCTATCTATCTATCTATCTATCTATCTATCTATCTATCTATCTATCTATCTATCTATCTATATGTGTGTCTGTCTGTCTCTCTCTCTTTGTGTGTCTGTATGTGTGTGTATTTGTGTGTGTATGTGTCTGCCTGTCTGTCTCTCTCAATCTCTGTCTGTCTCTCTCAGCCTCTTTCTCTGCCTCTCTTTGTCTCTCTGTGTGTCTCTCTGTCTCTGTCTCTCTCTGTCTCTCTGTCTCTTTCTGTTCCCCGCCTTCCCTCACTTGCTTTCTCTCTCCCTCCCTCCCTCCCTCTTTATGGGGAGGCTCTTGGCCTAGGTCCCTGAGCCCAGGCGGGCGCAGGCAAAGGACCGACCTACAGGAGGAGTGAAGTCACATCTCCCTTGAGGCTGGAGCTACAAGCTTTTCAGAGCCTCTGCTCACCATGAGCCGACAGCCACAGCCCCAAGCTGCGCGGACAGTGCGCTCCGCGTCTCTCCCGGTGTCGCCGACTTTGCCCATGTCCCAGTATGCGTCCCGCTCAGACTCCAAGGGCGCTTTGGACAGCAGCAGCCCCGATGCCAACACGGAAGATGACAAGACCGAGGAGGACATGCCTGCGCCCAAGAACTATCTGTGGCTCACCATTGTCTCGTGTTTTTGCCCAGCGTACCCAGTCAACATCGTGGCTTTGGTCTTCTCCATCATGGTGAGTGGGTTTGGTACCAAAAGCAGCTGCAAAGGAAAGCGCCGGCGGCGCTGTCTCTCACGGACCTTGTGCGCTGGGTTTGGAGGTGCATACCTCCTCCTTGCCTTTCTTCGGCTCGGCTCGGGGGCTCGGCTCTCTCTCTGAGCTCTGCCCAAGACCATCAGCTCGCTGCTGCGCAGCGCTAACCAAGCCTTCCGCAGAAACAACTTTGCGCTTCGTTGCCCCAGCGCTCCCTCTCCAAGTTCCCTGTCCCCAACTGTTTTCCTAGGACCTCATTGCGCAAGCCCTGGCAAGCCCCAGTGCGCCCCATGCTGTGCGCTGCTTGCAGGCTGTGTGTCCCGGGCTTGGCCACATTGAGGACCCCTACCCTCCAGTCCCCAAAAGTGCCCCGATGATGGCGGGTTCTTTCTTTTCGCTGCACGCTGGGCACTGCCTCCATGGGGTCCCCCGGAGATTGCTAAGGCTCCTCCTTGAGTTTGCCGCTCTTTGCCCAGAATGCTTTCTCTAGTTTCAAAGTTCCTTCTGTCTCTTTCTACACCCAGAACCTCTCCCTTGCTTCTCGCTGGCACCTGTTTTCCAGCTCTCTGGAGGCTGTCACCGGGACATTTCCACAGGACTTTCTTGACTGTACCCTGCGCTACTCTCCTCTCACAAGGGAAAAGCCTGTTCGCTCTTTACTCTCCCTCAGGTTGCCCCAGTCCCACCCCACTTCGCTGCACGGGAACCTTGTCGGACTATTCCCAGGAGCCCCTCCACCGCTCTATCCTACGCCCAGTGCACTTGGGGACTCCTCCATGGAGCGGCACCCTGGGGCTCAGCTCCGTGGCCCTCTTCAATGCTCCCAAGAACCAGATCCTCCCTTATTGACTAGAGCAGCTGGTCCCCGGGTGGTGGCGGGGGGGGGGGGGGGAAATTCACACAGACACTGTCCCGGGACAACCCCAGCAGTTTGCGCTCCCTCCCCCACAGGCTCACTTCCCCAGCGGCTAGCCAATGCGACTCCCACCAAAGACAAGACTCCTTCAGCTGGGCTGGGGTTCAGCAGCCTGCATCAAGTATTACCCGCCCCCCGTAAAAACCTTTCCTGGGTAGAGCAGAGACTCCATTTGCACCCACCCACTGCCCTTCCCCAAAGCTGGCTTCCTGCACCAGCATGCAAGTGCGCAATCGCTGAAGTTTTGGGCTTGGTTCAAATCCCAGTGGCACCACTTCTTAGTCCCAAGGTGTCCAGAAATCGGTGCAGATCGCTGAACCCGGGCTTCTTTATAAGACTTCTAAGTTTTTATCTGGAGGGGGGGGGAGCACATGAGTGGAGGTCAGAGGACAGCTTTCTGGGGTTGCTCTTCATCATCTTCCACCTTCATGTGAGTTCCCGGGGATGGAACGTGGGTCACCTGGCTCGCACAGCAGGAGCCTGTACTGGCTGGGCCAGCTCTCCAGCTGGCCCTTATTTTATTTTTTAATATGTCTGTTGTCCCCTCATTACAAACTGCAAGCTATATGAGGGCAGGGATATTTGCCCTGTTTATGAGTGGGCGCTACAGAAGCAGTCACAGGAGAATGTGACACGTGAATAATCTTACGAAACCAATGCACACTTGAAGGGAGGTGTTGATGGATTCACATGTCCATTTTGCCCCTGTTTCCAAGTCCCGGAAGTTGAAGCTATCACACCTGTTTCCGTAATACCAACCAGCGGACTTCCACATTTCCTTCCTCTCCCTGGGTGTCTGATCCTGGGTTGGTTTGGGGTTTTATATTTACTTTTAGAGAGGCTGGAAGAATTGTGGGCCGCCAGACTCTGCCAGCAGCAGACTCCCAGGCTGAGCACCAGTGCCCACATTCCATCCTGGTTTATCCGTGAAGCAGCTAATTTATCCTTCCCGGTGCCACGTAGGGAAAAGCACCTACAGAGACTGTTCCCTCTCACTGGTCCAGAATCAGCTAACAGCTGGTGGTGACAGGCTGGATGCTAATGATGCAGCTGGGGTGTCCTGGGGGGTGGGGGGAATGAGGCTTAGGATGGAAGCCTCTCCTAATCCCCTCACTTCCCAAGCTTTTCTCCAAAGTTTCACAGCATGATACTTGACCCTCAGAACACAGAAGGCTTGGGGAACGTTCCCTACTTTTTTTTCTTTTAAGCTTTAGTTGTTCACTTGGCAAGTGGGGACGGGATGTTGGTATGTGCTGCTGTCGTTTCCTGCGGTTTGGAGTTTTAATTTACTTCTATTTATTTGTGTGAGTGCCCCTGCCCGTGATATCAGAGGCCAGCTCTGTGGAGTGTTTCTCTTCTTCCACTTTTACGGGGTGTTCTGTGGATGGAACTCAGGTCATCAGGCTTGTGTGGCAACCGCTTCACCGGGCTGAGTTGTCTTTCCAGCTGTGGTTTTGTTGGTCTTGTTTGTTTCAGGCTTGGGGGTTGCTGGTAGTGATGCTGGCGTGGCTGTTTTTGAGAGCGAGTTTCACTTTACAGTCCAGGCTAGCTTTGAACTCATGAGCCTCCTGCCTCGACCTCTTGAACTGCTGGGTTGACAGGTCCAGGCCACTGTGCCTGGCTTGTGTACGTTGTTTAACACTGAGTAGTAGAGGCATGGGGATGAGACAAAATGTATGGTGCCCATCATGCCGAGCCCGCGGCATTGTGTTGGGTGCGTCCAACCATCATGGCGCCGATGGGTAGATTTGGTATCTGGAGGCATCACATGTTCCATAGGGAAACGGGCAGAAAATGAAACAATGGAAGCCCAAATTCTAAACAGCACCTCCTACATGCTTGCTATCGTGCCCTCTCTGAAGTAGGATTGGAAGTCGTGTCCCATGCAAGCAGTGCCAACCCGGGCTTTGATGAATTTCATGACAATGATTACCAAGGGCAAAGAGAAAGAAGGTTGTGCAGGGGGAAGGGGGGAGTCTGGCTGTGTCAGTTGTTGAAAGTGGAGAGGGAAACTGTATTTGTTCCAAGGTCAAAGCAAAGACCTTCTGGCTGGCAGGACATCATGAGAGTAGGGAGCGCGAGAAAGACCCAGACACACTGGCTTTCTGTTAGACCCACTCTCAGAATTTCTCATTAACACACCAGTCTATTGATCATGTGATCGGATTCACTCATTCATGAGGGTAACACCCTGCTTACCTTCTAAAAGCACCAAACTCTTGATAGCTCATAACAGGGCCTGAATTCCAACATGAGGGCTGATGCGACACCATATTCAAACCATAACAGTAATCATCCAGTCCTGCCATGGATGCACAAGATTTAAGGTGTCATCTGATGTCCTGTCCTGGCTGTTTTCTAATCTCACTCATCTATAAATTCATGGCAAGTACATCAGTGTGTCTTGGGGTCTCAGCTGGGAGTTGCACATTCCCCGTAAAGACATTTGGAAACGTTGGGGATCATCTGTAAGAGCCACAGTGATTTGGGGAGTTTGGCATTGATGAAAAGAGGCAAAATACAAATGTCCAGCAATGCTTCGGGTTTTCTCCCAGTGCTGAACTAACATACCCCAAGTACCAACAGTACCCTGATTGTTGCTCTCTGTTCATGTGATCAAACAGTCTCACCAAAGGCAACGTGGGGAGGAAAGGGCTTATTTCAGCTTGTAATTCACAATCTTCCTCAAAAAAAACCATAGTCAAGTCTATCACAGCTTGATTTCTGTTGCTGTGATAAAAACACCCTGATCGAAACCAACTTGGGGAGGAAAGGATTGATTTGGCTTTCACTCCCAGGTCACAACCTATTACTGGGTAGCTCCCCAGTTGAGACTCCCTCAAATGACTCTGGGCTTTGTCAAGCTGACAGCCAATGATAACTAGGACACACTCTAATAATAATTTAAAAAAAAATACTGTATAATGAAAGATGATGTAAACATAGTGTGCTGAAATTATTGAAAAGACTCCAGACAACCCGTTTCAAAGGTGCATATATATATGCAGTCTCAAAACAATCAACACCTATACTACTAAGCCAAGCCTAATGTGCATTCTATAACATGTACATGGGCGTAAAACTACTCTGAAAAAAATACAGAAGATTGTTCAAGCTGTGGGGATCTGTGTTCCTTCTAACACCCACTGTGGAACCGGGGAGTCCTGGGGTTAAAGACACCACACCCACAGGTAAGCGGCAGGACAATACCAATGCGATATTGGAAAGCTGATGTGCCTAGCATCCCCTGTGGTGGAAGCATGGAAGTTCTCAACACACTGAGAGAGTGCTTGTCAGAAGTATATTTTACCTGTGTTCAACGTGGAGCCTTGTACTGTGTGACTTTTCCTAGGGTGACATGAACAAATGTCTGTTCTTCCCAGACAAGGCACCAAAGACAGACAAAAGAGATAATTCCACCCAGGTCTAGCTGAGTGAATCTGTTGTAGCTAGAGTTTTCCTGCCTTGCCCACAGTCAGGACAAATCTTTATCACTCGCCAGTCCCATAGCCACTCAGACCCAACCAAGTAAACACAGAGACTTATATTGCTTACAAACTGTATGGCTGTGGCAGGCTTCTTGCTAACTGTTCTTATAGCTTAAATTAATCCATTTCCATAAATCTATACCTTGCCACATGGCTTGTGGCTTACTGGCATCTTCACATGCTGTTTGTCATGGCGGTGGCTGGCAGTGTCTCTTCGCCTTCCTGTTCTCTCAATTCTCCTCTCTATTAGTCCCGCCTATACTTCCTGCCTGGTCACTGGCCAATCAGTGTTTTATTTATTGACCAATCAAAGCACACATTTTACATACAGACCATCCCACAGCAATCTATGAGTGAGTTTGAGGTTACTTCCAGGAGCATGGATGACTCAAAGGTAGCTGCATTACTAAAAAACCCAAAGTTTAAGCTGGGCAGTGGTGGTACAAGGTTTTAATCCCAGCACTCGGGAGGCAGAGGCAGATGGATCTCTGTGTGTTCAAGACCAACCTGGTCTACAAAATTCCAGGACAGCAGCCAGGGCTACACAGAGAAATCTTATCTTGAAAAAGCTTAAAAAA